ATATTAATTAAAATATACACCGCACATCAATAATAATAAGATGGAATTATTTGGTTCCTGACCCTGAACCACTTGTGAGGGGAGAAAATAATATACTTTCGTATATAACGTATATCAAACTGATATAGATAACTTTGTTCTCATAAGCAATTGTTTAGCTATTAAGTAGAGGCACTTAATAAATCATTTTGCTAAACCAACTGTGATGTAAACCAACTTATCAAGATGAACTTCTTGAATAGAAAATCTGGAAATTATGCTCGAAATTAAATTATTGAGCAAGTTACCTCGCAAATACCATGTTGCGGGTTATTAATAATCGCACATGTAACCATCTCATAGATGCATCTTATGTGGTATACATGGCAGGTGAATGGACCCATATTCACCTTTGATATTTCCAGAATTCATGGGATTCAATCCCAATTTTAGTTGGTATATTAATTAATGAGAACAGCAACATAAGAGAATTCGTAAAGAACTTTCTAGTTCTTTAATATTTACCCATGTGAATTCTCTTTTATTTTTGCACATCATACTTAAATTGATATGGGTAAATCAATTACGCCAACTGAATAAATTATCAATATTGATAAACTTCAGATTTACACCATGACGTGTGCAATTATCAATAAACTCCAAGTTTATTATGATATGGATTTTTATACCAATAAAATTCTCTTTATTGTGGCATTCTTTTGTTTGTGTAGTACAAACTGGAGAATAAAGCGGGTAGCTTTTCACATACATATTACCCCGCTACTAGTTGTAGAAATAGAAGATATTAAATCTTTCCTTTATTTATAGTCTCAATATAATCAACCGCTTTCGCGAATACTTTAGAAACTTAATAAGTTTCTTTGAGACTTACTACGATAATTTTATTTCTCCAAAATAATAATAATTTGCTCTTCCAGAGCTCTCAATTAATTTGGTACTATCACATATTCATCAACATCAATATGGTGAATATCTCTTTCAAAGAGAAAGTTATACCATTATGGTTATGGTCAAAATTATATGCAAGTTCTGTTTCTTGCATTACCGCTGTCTTTTAATAATCACAATGCCAAAATATTTTGGCGTACAATAAGTACGTGACCAATGACCATTTATGCCATAATAATGACATTATTTTCTTATTTCCTCTCAAACCTCCTTCTAGAGGTGAGTGTGGTATATACCACAAGCACGCTCATATTCTTCCAAAAATGAATATGTATTCTTAAATCAGATGTTGTCACATTCACATCATGAATGGACCATAATCATCTATATGTGCTTTATAAAATCTTATGTCAAATCGATGACAAATATTACTTTCACAGAGTGAAGGATTATTTTGAGAATCCTTATTATTCTCATTATCACAATGATGACGATTATAATTTCGTCTATTGCCACATCCACATCCATTGATACCTTCACGGTAATAATTTTATCTTCTTTCAGACTTATCACATATTGCTATCACATTCTCTTAAGGGAATGAGAATGGAGCAAATTCAATGGGACGGACTTTTAATTCTTTGCCCACAACCATACATGAATTTGATCATGGCGGGCATAGAAATTTTACCACTTCAGGTGGTTATAATTTCTTACAAACTCCATTAGAGTTATAATCAAACTTTGTTGTCTTTGCTTTGTATTTAAAATTAAAGTATAGAATAAAAGAGAAAAATACGGTAAAATACTTACCTTAAATCCAGAATTTTAGCATGAAGGAAATTCATAGAACAATTGACAATCATTGTGATCAATCCCAAAGCTTCTACTCAATTGATTAGAGTCTCGTGCTGATAACGTGTTATGAAACAATAAAGAAGAAGAATATTGCAAGGAAAAGTAGGGAGAGAGAATTCTTATTGATTTTGGGATGAATTACAATAGAATAGAACCCTCTATTTATAGGGAGAGGGTGACTTAGCCACCAAACAATGAACCCTAGAATCTCTCTAAATATAGACATTCACCATAAATACAATTCTATTTATAACAGTTCTGGCCTTTTTTTTTTGGTTGTCATATTGTTAAAATTTAAGTCTCGTGTTGGTATGTGATTTTAGATCTGAATTCCCTAACAATTAGGCCTCATTTGTTTGCACTTAATGGAGGTCTGAATCTTAATCATTCAGATCTCTGACATTAAGTGCGTTTGTTTTTAAAGTCTGGATCTTAATTATTCAGATCTTAATCATTAAGTGTGTTTGTTTTTTTTACTTCACAACCACTTAATGGGTCTGAATAGGTCTGTATGATTAAGATCTATAACAGAGACTTAATTTCATTAAGATGCTATCACATATTCATTATTAACTGCTGCCACCGCCTACCATTATCAACTACCACCATGCCGCCACCATCACCACCACCACCACCACCCTACTACCACTACCACCCCCACCCCCACCCCCACCTCCACCACCACGCTACCATCATCCTAAATCATAGCCTCCATTATTGACCATCACCACCTACTATCCCCACAACTCCGACCACCATCATTCTCACCCATAATCAACATTCATTTGCCTCAACTACCACAACTGATCACCCCATCACCATCAACAACCACAGCCGGCACTGCCCATCATTATAACTTACCACCACCCGACATTATTAACTATCACCACCCACCACCACCATCTTCAATCATAATCGCAACCACTACCAATTACTACTAGCTACTATCATGAACCACCATCATCAACCAAAACTACCACCAACCACCGCCTCTAGTCGGCATTCACCCGTTAGTCATCACCACCAACAACTATCATATTTTAAAAAATAATATATTTTATTGATAGAATATTAGATTAGTTAGTATTTCATTTGAATTTTATGTTTATTAATTTTTAGATAAAAATAAATTTTATACATTCAGATGTTAAAAATCAAACAGTCTTAGTTATTTCTATTCAGATCTAAATACACATCTTAATATATTCAGATGTGTATTCAGATTCAGATGTGTTAATCTTAATACACATCTTGATATTCAGATGTGTATTCAGATTCAGACGTTTTAATTTTAGAAAAAACAAATGAAGCCTTAGTTTGTAGTACTAGTAGTGTGGTTGCGGCAAGATTTAGCTTTTTTGTGATAAATAGACATAATTGAGTTATTTTCGTCACAAAAATCAGTTTATTGACTTATTAGTTCAAATAAATTAAAATTAGTTTGATGATCATATATGAAATTAACCCCTTCTACTAGCTAGGTTATTGCTCTTGCAATCTTTTCTAGAACATTAAGAACTGTGCAAATGTTATCAAATATTAGCGATCAAAGCAGTAGTTTACTCTCAAAATTAACATGGGCGGATGCACATGGAACGAAGCAGTGTCACCCAACACCGCTTTATTGGAAAATTTTATAAAATATATTTAGAATATTGTACGGTTACAATAAGTTAAAAAAAAGACACCATTTGATGTATATTGTAAATTGGCACACTGATTAAGTTCCTAATTTTTTGTAAGATTAGAAGTTCAAATCACAATTAGATCGTATTTTTGTCAAATACTTAAGAGAGCTTCTATAGCTAAAAATTGTGGTTACATAGATTTTAACTTATGGGAAACTACCAGCAATTTTCATTTATAAGTACCTCATTACAAAAATGGGTCAATTCATAAAATATTGCTAATACTAGCCAAATATTATAATATTAGCCAATTAGCTATTTGTAGCAAAAAAAGAACAAATTGTAGCTTTCTTTTGAGTTGGTATTATTAAAATAGATTGGGTACATCTCAAGGAGCTTGAATCTCAGTTTTGGGATGATTTGGTGAAGTTTTGAGGTGGTTTGAATTGAAAATTCGAAGTAAAAACTGAACATGAAAAAAAAGATATGTGTATCATACTGTGTATCATCTGTGTATCACATATGTATCATATTTGTATCAATTGTGTACCACATGTATACCTTTGTGTGAGATACATGCTTTATACATGTTTGATACATGTGTCGCAGAAGAATTTTTTGAACTCGATTTAATTACGAATTTTGATACAAAACTAGTCCAAATCACCTCCAATCTTTCTCAAATTTTGTATATTGACTTATCTATATGTTTTCAATGAATTTCAACTATACCCATTGAAAAAGTTCCTTTTTGCTTAGATTTTTGGAATATTACATTTTTTTTTGTATTTCATTACCTTATTTGCCACCTCATCAATGAAATTTCCTTTCCGTCTTGCATTTAATGTTGCTAATCATGCTTAAAAAATATGGAAGGAGATTTTTGTATGTGATGCTTTGAGAGAAAGAACCTTACTTATTTGATTTTTCTATTTTTATATGTCCTTGGCTAGTTTTGGTAAGGGGAGAAATTCAAAAATAGCCAGATTTACAAGTGGTCGTTCAAAAATAGCCCAGTTTCAAAAATAATCAAAATTTAGCCACTTTTCATGTGAAGATAAATCTGTGCGAAAACAATGTTCAAAACCCGAAAAATACGCCAGTATATTATGCTGGAGTTCCAGCATAAGTATACTTGAACTCCAGCATATTATACTGGAGTTCCAGGATAAGTATGCTGAAACTCCAGCATAATATGATGGAGTTCCAACATAAGTACACTAGAACTCCAGCATAATATACTGGAGTTCCAGCAAAGTATACCGGTCCAGTATAATATGCTGGAAGTTCATACACAAGTGCTCGAATCTCCAGTATATTATGCTGGAACTTTCCGTATGTTGTAGTTCCAGCATAATATGGTGGAAGTTCATAGAGAGGTGCACCGAACTCCAGTATATTATGCTGGACCGATCTCTGTTGCAGCAAAATAGTGACTATTTTTCATTGACTTGATAAATGCTGGCTATTTTTGAATGACCAGTCCGAAAACTGGCTAGACCGTGCTATTTTTACGATTAAATTTATTCAATTCTCTTTTAAAAATATATAGAAATAAAAATCTTTAGCTAGGAAAAAAAAGGGCTTTCACTTGGCATTTAGTTGGTACAGTAGTATAGTGCCACGTGAGTGACACTAACACCCACCCCCCTTTCCTCTCAGTTGCACTGCAAATACGCAGGAGTTAGGAGCGATACCTTCGATCTATCTAACTGCTCTGGGTTCGTTTCAATCATTAAACGCTTCTGCTTGAAAAATCTTTGGCTTTTTGAGAGCAAGAATGCTGGAATTTCCCCATTGAATTTAGTTTTCTTTCATGGTCTTATTCTCTTTACCTATCTCCATTTTAATCTTTTATTTTTGTATTATACTGCTTTCTGTACATTTGACTTTTTATATCTTCTGCCTTAGCTCGGATCTGATGCATGCACAATAGGTAGATGGGAAGCTTTTTTCATTTTCAAGATTTTTCAAGATTTAATTTTTTGCTCTCTATGCTGATGTTTAGATATATTTATGACGACCCATTATGTGATTTTGTTATTATTGATTGTTTACTATTGTTTTGGTAAGTTTAATTGCATTTATTGTACTCACCCATGTTGTCAATTGTCAAAAGTTGCTTCTTTTTGTTATTTTGTTCCTGTAGTTAGCTAGTGTCTGATGATCTTGTGCTGTGTTGGTTGAAGTATGATGAATATGTGTGCTGTGATTAATTTTTGTTAACTTGAAATTTGTTGGAAAATGCAGAAATTGAGGGTTTCAGCTCACAGAGAAACTGCAATTCCAATGGGAGATTTCAATGGTGCAGAGTACATAGGGATTAATGAGGTTCCATCTCCCAGAGCAAATAATGCTAGGAAAGTTTCAGTCTTGCCTTTAGTTTTCCTCATTTTTTATGAGGTTTCTGGTGGTCCTTTTGGTGTTGAGGACACTGTGCAGGCAGCTGGTCCTCTTCTTGCTCTTTTGGGTTTCTTGATTTTCCCATTCATATGGAGTATCCCAGAGGCATTGATTACAGCTGAAATGGGCACCATGTTCCCTGAAAATGGTGGTTATGTTGTGTGGGTTTCATCTGCTTTAGGTCCATATTGGGGGTTTCAGCAAGGTTGGATGAAATGGCTGAGTGGAGTCATTGACAATGCGCTTTACCCCGTTATGTTCTTAGATTACCTGAAATCAGCTATCCCTGCATTAGGTGGTGGGCTTCCTAGAACTATAGCGGTTTTGGCCCTTACTGTGGTTCTCACTTACATGAATTACAGAGGTTTAACTATTGTTGGATGGGTTGCTGTTTCGCTTGGTGTATTGTCAATTCTTCCTTTTGTGGTTATGGGGCTCATTTCGATTCCCAAAATAAGGCCTGAAAGATGGTTAGTGGCCGATGTACGCAGTGTTGATTGGAACTTGTATCTGAATACTCTCTTCTGGAATCTGAATTATTGGGACTCGATAAGTACTCTTGCTGGAGAAGTACATAACCCAAAGAAGACTCTGCCCAAGGCTTTGTTTTATGCTGTGATTCTAGTCGTTCTGTCTTACTTTTTCCCTTTATTGATCGGTACTGGAGCTGTTCCCCTCCAGCGTGACTTGTGGACTGACGGCTATTTCTCTGATATTGCGAAAATGCTGGGTGGAGTTTGGCTTAGAGTTTGGATTCAAGGGGCTGCTGCAATGTCAAATATGGGGATGTTTGTAGCCGAGATGAGCAGCGACTCTTTTCAGTTACTGGGTATGGCGGAGAGGGGGATGCTCCCTGAGTTCTTCGCGAAGAGATCTCGTTATGGAACTCCTTTACTTGGGATTCTCTTCTCAGCTTCTGGTGTAGTTTTGCTCTCATGGCTAAGCTTTCAGGAGATAGTAGCAGCAGAAAATTTCTTGTATTGCTTCGGAATGATCTTGGAATTTATAGCATTTGTATGGTTAAGGATAAAGTGCCCCAATGCACCACGCCCATTCAAGATACCTGGGGGAACTGTTGGAGCCATCCTGTTGTGTATACCTCCAGCCATTCTTATATGTGTCGTGTTGGCCTTCTCTTCAATGAAAGTAATGGTTGTAAGCCTTGTTGCTGTTGCAATTGGGTTGGTGATGCAACCATGTCTTAAGTTTATTGAGAAGAAGAGATGGTTGAAGTTCTCCGTTAGTTCTGATCTTCCTGATATTACAACACATGGATCTTTACTTCGTTGATTCTCTTATAAGCAGTGGCTTTATGTGGTACAACTATTCCACTAACATGTCAGCGGTGGAAGCTGTGTCAAATTCTTATGATGGAGTGCATTGAGATAGAGCGAAACCAGTTGAAGTGGCTGCCAAAGTTTGGACGATCCTTCTCTTTTAAGGATCTTGTGGTAGCTTCTAAAGTTGTAAGTTTTATTGCCCTGCTCTTGTGCCTACTTGTGTTAGTGTCTAGTAGCTATGATGTCCAGAGCATATAGCAGAAGTGGTTTATCCAATGTTGGATGATCCTTTTCTCTTTAAGGATCTTATAGCGATAGATTCTCATCTTGTAATGTGTATTTCCCTGCACACGTGCCTATTTATAGTTAGTGTCAAGTTGCATTAGTGATAGTCATTCAGGAATTGCTTCAGAAATAGACAGTGATTTGTTTTTCCTGAATTGACTACATTTTGTGTAATGCACAGTGAGCTAGTAAGACTACTAATAGTAGAGGTGTAACTGAATTCATATGTTCACAAATGAACCGCTGTTATATATGTTTGAACTAATGATGTTTATTTAATAAACAAACTCAAGACGTTTATTTAACTGTACACACTTCAATATGGTATCTGAAGTTTGAACAGATAGAGATCCTGGGTTCAAATGTTACACAACTAGAATGCAGATCACGTCTATAGATTTGAAAATGAGTCTCAACTAGAAATAAGGAATTTATTGATGGCAACAACTTTGCCCCTAACTCTCCTAGTAGTCAAAAGACGGTGCCGCAGCTCAGCCCACGTAAAGGGTACATATTTTCTAGGATTGGAAACTGGATCAATAAGCTGAGGAGGGCATTCAATTGTTGCACTGCTTGTTGGATTCAAGAAATATGCCATTGATAGCCTTTTCTTTTCCTTATTCACCACTGCTCTGTGTATAACACTCTTTAACCTTCCATTTGTCCAAGCCTGCAAGAAACAAAGATTCAATACTTACTTGAAAATACACAAAAACATGTGTGTTTGGTATGGCAAAAGTCATTTTTTCACGAAAAATGTTTTTTGTCATACCAAACATACATTAAGAAAATTGCTGTCTGATCATTGTAGTAATTATGATTTTCTTTTTTTTTTGAGAGAGAGATAGATAGAGAATGACCTCAAGGGTGTCGCCAATATTGATGACAAATGAATTGAGAAGAGGGCGGACTCCAATCCATTGTTTGTCATCCTTGAGGATTTGAAGGCCACGAACCTGATCTTGATACAATATGGTTAAGGTTTGTGGATCTGAATGGATCCCTATACCTACTATCTTCTCTGGGAGGGGACAAGGCGATATCTGCTTATCCTGAATATAGTAGCCTCCTTTTCTTCAAAGTTTTTGCTGAAGAAATCATTTGCTAGACCTATTCCATGAGCCAACATCTCCAATATAATCGTTCCTAGCTTGTCCATCTCTTTCATGTACTCTATCATTGCATTGCTATTTAGTTTATCAGAGTCAAAACCAGCAAAATAAGCATTTTTGGTAAGATTAGTCAAGTAAACTAAAGTGCACTCTTTCTAGCAACTTAAACTTAGATGAACCGGTCACTCAATTTAACGTGGTATTAATTAGAGCAGGTAGAGGTCCTATGTTCAAATCTCACATTTTACTATCACCTTTCGTGAAAAGAAATATCCACGTGCTTGTCTCATCAAAATGAATCAAGCTCGCACAGTAGGGGACTGATTGAAGATATAAGTGTTGTATGTTTACCTAAATGTGTGGTATTGTTCCCCACAGACCTTTTTGGCGAATTGGACAACCATTTCAGGTGACTGAAGCAGCTGCAAGATTTCAGCCCAAGGCAAATTTTGCTCATACTCAGGATTTGAGGCGTAATATCCTAACGGTAAGCTTGATGTTTTGCCACCTTTGAGCTTTTGTTCCATGGGAAGATCAAAGAGCTCCTGCAAGCGACTAGTATAGTTCTCAACTATCTCACTAGGTACCCCATGATCCACAAGCTTAAAGAATCCCCATTTTTCACTTGCTTTCACCATATCTTGGCAGACATTTTTGTATAGTTCTTGATTGTCCCAAATACCATTAAGACTAATCACTGGAATATCGTTAATTACATCTCCGAAATCATCGTGTTTTAGTGCAGGCCATTCTTCCTCAGACCATATGAAATCTTTGACTTGCATTTTCTTGCCGTTCATTGAAAGTGTCTCAATATGCTCTCCTTCAATTCCAGGTGCCATTGTAGTACTTGATATTTTTGACGTAACGTGTTTTCAGTCTCTATATACAGAAATTTAATTTGAGGCGTCCTTTTCGGGGTCAAAATAATGGAGAGATTTAAGAAAAGAAAAATGGTACTATCTCTTGCATTGTCGAGGCCATTGTTTTCTTGTTGTTGCCACCAATGTACCGAATAGGAAAGCTCTCTAGGATTCTTCAGCACTAAGTTCATTTAGAAAATATTCATTAATCAAAATTCATGTTTAAGCAAATAAACACTACTAATCTCAACCAAAGACTGAAACCAAAAAAGAAAAAGAAAAACAGACATCTGCATGTCTATGAACTTGAAACTCTAGTACAAAAAATTATAAGCATAACAATGATCACGAAAATCTAGTACATATAGAGTACAACAGTCTTAACTAAATAGTATATAGGCATGACCTATGATATGTTAATGTCTGGCTAAGAGATCAGTTCAAAATTTGAAATAAAAGGCAGTCGATGCACAAAACATTCTGCGTCCACACAAGATCCGGGGAAGGGCCACACGCCAAAGGGTGTGACGTAGATAGCCTGCACTATGCAAGCATTAATGACTGCTTCCACGCAGTTCAAAATTTGAAATGCTCAGCACAAATATAGGAAGTGTAGTGACTTTGGCTATGCCATTTAACTAGCAGTCCTCGTCCTCTTGAGACGGTTCAACATTCAAGTCAAAGGGTCTCGGTTCTTTAGATTTCGCCGGGAAACTCTGTGTCTCTTTGGCTGCAACAACAAGAATCAGGCTTCAGTTTCAAATAAGTCAGGATCGGTTATATAAATCCTCAAACATCTGTTCCGCTTTATTAAGTCAAGATTAGCCATAATTTTCTTATATTTATGGTAGGATGGAGGAGGATTAGTAGGGAGGGAAAAAAACCTCGAGAATTAGCTCGACATGTCCTAGCCAAAGTAGATGAAACGAGATCTTTTTGCAATCTCGTTGCATCATGGAACATCAACGTATTGTGCAGCTTCATCTCTTCTGGTAGTGGTGATTCGACTATATGAAAAATATATTTAGTAATCCAGGTGCCTGTGCGCTCTGATACTGATGGAATTACCAGCTTTTCTACCTTCAAATAGTGAAGGACCTGCATCAAATAAGATCATCAGCTCAAAGTACTTCTCCAATAGCTATTGCTAGCCGTCCATAAAAAGTGACAATAAATATTAACTTGAAAATAAGACAAGTTACCAGCTACGATAGGTTAAAACATATCGATATGGTATAAAATTGAGATAAAATTCTTACTGATTCAATGGTAACCATTAGCTCTCTGCACATTCCTTTTCTCCTATATTTCTTGTTTGTTGCAATGAAGGGCATTTCAGCAAGCTTTGGTCCATGGATCCTTAGAATATTAAGTAGATGTTTAGCACAAAAAAAGCATACTTTTGACACTCTGATGCTAAATTTGGTTTAAGAAAGATATATAATAATACCTTATGGATGCTGCAGAAATGATTTCCTCATTCTTTTCTAAAATAATAGTGTAAAAGCCCCTGAAATTCACCCTGTTAAAATTTGACCTGCAAGAAGTTTTCATTAGAACATAAAAAAGGCAGTCCGGCGCACTAAGCTCCGTTATTCGCGGGGTCCCGAAAGGGCCGGACCACAAAGGTCTATTATACGCAACCTTGCCCTGCATTTCTACAAGAGGCTGTTTCCACGGCTTGAACCCGTAATCTTCTGATCACATGGCAACAACTTTACCAGCTACGCCAACCCGTGACTTCTTTCTATATTTCATTAGAACATAGAAAGAGTTAAACATTTTATATATCCTTTGTGCAATATATGATGAGAGATTTGTAAATTACCCACAATTGTAGACCACACTTTTAATGACATCAATTCTAGTATGTCTGTCTGTAATTTGCTCAAAACAGTCTTCCATAAGTCTTCGTGCCACGGCTAGCTTGGAGTGGCATACAGTTCTTTGATAATCGTCTTCTATATTAATCCCAGAGCCATCATCTGTGTTCTTAAGTAATGTCCATTTGTAGCTTCCCTTGGTCTCACGTTCAACACCAACAATGCTCCTCTCCAATGTATCATAGACCTTCACAATTATGATTCATTTTAAAAGCATCTCAGTTATCATTAACAACTACTAATAAGACTATTAGTCCTTTATAAGCACAAGGTCAATGTGTATTTCTATGCTTAATATAGACACAGAAAATGATAGGTGAGTTCTTCTAATATGTCTAAACCTTAGTCGGCAGAGTTATTCAATGCCTTTGCTCAGTGGCGGAGGCAGGATTTCTGCTAAGGGGGTTCAAAAAAGAAAAAATTAAAAGAAATTGTGGCCAGTGGGAATTGAACCAGCGAACTCACAAAGGTTTTGAAGCCCCTTGACCACTGAGCTATGCTTTTGGGCCGTGTCAGGGGATTCAAAATATAATATATAGTGACACAAAACGGTGCCTTATATGTATATTGTAATTTTACGGCAAAGGGGGTTCTTCTGCCCCCCTAAATCCGCCGCTGCCTGTGCTGGTGGGAGGTAAACTTACTTAGACACCACCGTTATAGAAAAAAATAAAGTTTCAAAAGTACAACTCTATCAAAATTAACTGCTTTCAGATATTGAGAGTATTACCTCATTGCAGCTAGTGTCACAGAATGTGCCTTGTGGGGGGTTGTTAATGTCTATGCTGATTTTCACTCTGGTTAGATGGCACTCCCAGTGATCTGCAGAATAAGGGATATTGTTTTATTTTTCAATTCCTAGTGCAAAAGAGTTTTTACCAGGGAACAAGAAACTCAAAAGAGTACAGACAGGAACCAGAAAACATTTCTTACATTTTTTCTCACACTGAGAACATTTCAGCAAATAATCGTTTTCATTAGCAGGAACACCACAGAATTTGCAGACACAAAATGAGCAATACCACGACCCTTTAGGAACCTCCTGCTATACAGAAATTCCAAAAAACTTCAGTGTCAATATGATTAAACCTAATTAAAGATAGCTATGTAGTGAAGGGGAGCCTTGTCGCACTGCTAAAGTGTTGTTGTCGTATGACCTGAAGGTCACACGTTCAATTCATGGAAACAACCTTTTATAGAAAAAGAAAGGTTGCATCAATAGATCCTATATGATACAACCCTTCCTCGAACCCTGCACATAGGGGGAGCTCAGTGCACCAGACTGCCCTTTAGAGATAACTATATGATGAAAGAGTTAGATTTATCACCTTCATTCCCAAGCACTTATCATGATGATATGTAGTGCTGCATTTGTCACAACACAGTAGAACACCTCCATCAGCACAAATCATACAAGCATCATCACAAGAGTCACTAGCATCCTCGTTTTCGATCAAATTAAATCGACGATAATTACGTTCTTCCGGAAGATCCCAAGCTTGAATCATGCAAGACAAGAGAGAAGAGCATGTTTCAGCAATGAAAATTTTCTCATAAGGTTTACTAGATGTTCCTCCAGCATGAGTACCGAGCTGAGGATCTACCAGAAACAGCCCCTTTGCCTTCTTAAAGGTAGGGTTAAGGTTTGCGTATACTTTACTTTCCCCAGACCCCACTTGTGGGATTACACTGGGTATGTTATTGTTGTTGTTAGCTCCAGCATGCGTACAAAAGTCAGCCACTGTGAAAACATAATTGCAACATGAACAAAGTATGCCTTCTTTCCTTATTTCCCCCTGCTTTGTTTTTGGCTCCCCTTCTTCCATGACAAAAACTTCTGCATTTTCTTGAATTACCTTACAATCTATTAGCCATGAAAGTATTGTTGTTGTCCTCTGTCTTTGGTCATTTCCTTTTCTTGAATTCCTAGTTCTACCTCTCTTTGCTCTTTTTCTTCTTCCCCATTTAAACTTCTCCTCACTTAAAACATCAGAACTTTGATCATTTTCAGATGAAGATGGTTCATCTATAATATATCGCTGCTTTTTCGATTGGCACTTTCGTTTTCTTCTTGTCCTCATTGAAGAACTTGCAAGATTTGTGTCATCTTCACTGAGATAGCCATTTATGGGTTTAGCCAAAATGTCTTTTTTTGCCTTTTTCTTTGGTAACTTTGGACTATAATGCAAGTCAGTGCTACTGTCTGAAGATTCTGGACTCCAAGAAGAACTAGAACTGCTTTCCTGTTTCTTCTGTTTTCTTGATCTTCTAACCATTTTTTCAGGTATAAAAAGAAATCTGTTTTGACTTCTTTTCCTTTTCCTCCTGCCTTTGACAATAAACAAAAGGAGATAACTCATAAGGAGGTGAAATAACAGTTGTTGTATGCAAAATTTTCCAGAATTAGAAATGCATGCATGAAACATAATAAATGGTGATTTGTTACTCTTTTCACGATGATTCTTGTTTTTATAATGCAATTGATGCAAAAAATTTGGAATGGTAACTGAAGAGAAAGAAAGAGAGAGCAGCTGACACTATAATAAGTGTCAGCTGGTTAATCAAAAATTTGCAAAATTGGTATGCAAAGTTTAGAGTTTTTAGTTTGGGTATTCTTATTTCTCGAATTCAATCCAAATATAGAAAAATGTGTTTCACAATTAAATTGTTTACAGTTTGTTGCTCTATTTTGGTTCATTCTTTTGACTTTTGATTTACTTGGTACCCTAGGACATACGGTCAGACCTCTCTATAACAATATCCTTATATAACAACACTTCACTATAAACGTCAAGCTTTTCCAGAATCAAATTTCATATTCTGTTATAATAGTATATGTTTTCTATAATAACAATTCGCTATAACATCCAAAAATTTCCGAACGAGATTGTTATAGAGAGGTTTGACAGTCGTACAATTGAAGAGTGGATTTTGGGAGTGGTGAGTAAGTTGTGTGTTGACTAGGCCAATCAATTATCCAATTTCCATAAATACCCAAATAAATAAAATTGATTTAAATCAATTTAAATGACACTCTTTTGAATTTGATATGTTCTAAAATATTTGACAGAATAAAATTATTCTATAGAATATTTATTGCTTCAAGAATTCAAATTCATTTAACAATTCAAATTGTAAACTTTGATGTTATAGTTTATTTGTCAAACTAACTTTTTGCCTATTATTAATAGTTTTCACTTACCATTAATATGATGTTTAAGCCAAATTAACATTTTAAACTTCATGTTTAGTTGAATGCAGTACCTTTTTATTTGGATATGTGAAGATATAATTATAACTGACCTAATAATTGTTTTAAAATTTATAAACCGCTAAGTTTCGAACTTCACCTAATTACTTTCAAATGTTTTCCTATATAAAGTCAAAGTTATGGCTGTTAATTTTGACCTATCTATATTTAAATACGTAAACCGCTAAACATAGTCAAACTTAGGCAGATCGACCTAGGGTGTCAATGGTTCGGTTCAGGTGTTTATTTTATAAAAGTTGTGCCATATCAATTTCTTGATTATTCTATTATGTATAACCAAAATTAGACTTTTCGAAATCGAAACCGTTATACGGTTTCTCTTCGATTTTGGTACGGATAGGTTAATTTTCGGTATTTTTTTAAATATTATGTAAAACTCACTAGTAGAAGTAGAATGAAAATATGAACTAACATATGTACTTTTATAGGACTTAGCAAAACTCTCTAAATATTTTTACTGTTTATAGAGTGATGAATTAAGAAAACATGAAAGATGGCTAGAGTATAGATCCACCGACTATTCTACAACAACGTAAAAGAAAGTAAGCAAAGACAAAGAAAATATATATCACACGAGTGAAAAGATATTAACCAAGCTGGGACTTAAGAATAAAGCCCATAGAAGATTAAATATTCAAAAAGATAAATCTAAATCAAAACATATTCAATACATTATAGTTTGCTACTCATAATTCTTAGCATACTTTGTGTCTTGCTAGTGAATATGCTAAAATAATTTAATTTCAGTAGGAGTAACATAATAAGTTTGGGAATTAGTTTTTTTAGTTTAATTACTTGTTGGCTTGAAATTGTTTTCATAATTCCAAAACCCAAGGAAAAATTTCGTGCTTTATTATTTTTAAACTCGATATATAAATATATTTTTCACATGTAAATTTATTCGGTACAGTTTGGTATTTTTTCGATTTATTTTCATAAAATAAAGACCTACCCTAATTATCGGTACGATTATAGATTTATATAAAAACCTACGATTTTATTTAAAAAATACCAAAAAAACGGTTTGATACGGTACGATTCGGTCGATTTAATTATTTTTAAATATTCATTAACACCCTAGGTCGAGCAACTTATAAGTCCACAAGTGAAAAACATTAGTCGATTTATTTGATAAAAAATAAAAAGATACCTTAATCAATCTATGGAAACTAGTATGCAGATTTAATGAGTCATATAGCATTTCAGCCCATCAGTCGATTTATTTGATGCTTAAATCATACGAAAGGAAATATATTCAATAAATTATAGTTTGTTACTCATAATCGTCAGAGTACTTCGTGTCTTGTTAATGAATATGTTAGAAATAATTTAATTTCAATAGGAGTAGCATAATAGGCTTGGGAATTAGGATTTTGAGTTTAATTACTTGTTGGCTTGAAATTATTTTCATAATTCCAAGACCCAAGGAAAAAATTGCTTTATTATATTTAAACTCGATATAAATATATTTTTCACATGTAAATCTATTTGTACGGTTCAGTATTTTTTCGATTTATTTTTATAAAATAAAAAATTTACCCTAATTATTGGTACGGTTATAGATTTATATAGAAACCTACGATTTTATTAAAAAAAAAAAACCAAAAAATGAGTTCGGTGCGATACGATTCAATCGAATCGGTTTAATCGATTTTTATATATTCATTGACACCCCTAGGTCAAGCAACTTATAAGCGCTCAAGTGAAAAACATCAGTCGATTTATTTGATAAAAGTAAAAAGATACCTTAATCAATCTATTGAAACTAATATGCAGATTTAGTGAGTCATATAGCATTTTCAGCACATAAATTAAAACAAGACAATTGAAATGAACCTTTTTACCTAAAAGAATTTTCGCCATACATTCTAAATGCTGATTTTATTCAATTTCATTGCATACATTATCAAATAAATAGATAACACATTGTACAAGTAAAATTCAAGCAAAATTAACAATGAAAATCTCACCTGAAAAGTAAATCTTCTTATCAAACCCACCAAAATAGAAAGATCTTCTATCCGGGGCTCCGACGAAAACGATTCTACGAAAAAATCTATGATTTTCTAGTTATCGATAGAGAGTTGTACTCTAAGATTGACAATAACTACGAGAAAGATTTTGTAAGACTAGAAATGAAATGTGTTTTGATGAATAGCGGTAAGTTTTATACACCTAAAATAAGAGAAAATTATTTCGAATGTAATCAGAAAGAGATTATCAACAGAGCGACAGAATCTCCTCTTATTCTTAAGTGAAAAAACGTTTTTACCTTATAAGAAAAGAGCGGGATAATTATTACGTTCACAAAATTCAATATTATTCTTTCATACTTTTTATATTAAAAATATTATTGTATTTGTTTTTTCAATTGCGTATCAAAACAATGGATTAAGTAGTCACTAGTCCAGCTGAACGCGCACTAATAATGTGTTAATGAAAAAATAACATTGTACACCGCTCTCAAAATAATAGTCAGAATATAAATATATATTTGTATATATTTTTTTTGTGTGTGTGTGTGTGTGTTTTGTAAAAATATACTAAAAAATTTTATACGCTTTTGCGGCTAACGAATATAAATAATTTTTGGCGCGGGTTAAAGTCATCTTCGCCCAATGTTAATTGATGGCTCAGTATGTTGATCTTTTTTCTTTTATTGTTTATTTATTTATTTATTTAAGTAGGTCAACGAATTGAACTTCATTTAACTTTCTAAAATCTTTATTGTTTTAGTTTTGAAAGTTTATCCTTTTTTACCTCTATACAATTTTGGAAAACTAATGAAGACATGAAATTTTGGTGTAGAAAAATATGCTAAAACAAATTTACTGTAGATTTATCAAATTAAAAGAGATTGAATTATGAGAAGTAGGTACAACATAAGTAAGGTAATGTTGTATAGTTTGAATTTGATTAATAAGATTACACATTTTTTTAATATTATAATCAGAATATTTTTTAAATCAGAATTTCTTTGTATCCTGAAAATCTAATAAAACTGAAAATCGACGAACACATATCTAAAGCTGTTTAATTTTCATGTTTTTTTGAAGAAAAAACTAGATAAAATTCAAAATTGTATTTTAGAAGTGTTACTTTTTTTAGATCAAAGTTGACCGTAAAAAATAATGGACTTTGATCTAAGTCAACCCGAAAAGCGAATATAAATGGTAAAAATTCCTAATACCTTATAAGAACACAACAGCTCACTTTAAAAATGTGAAATTATTCGCATGCTCAATAGTTTGACAATTGTATATGTATTGCTATGATAAAATGTTAAAATAATGCACATTATACTTTACTGAATTTCAAAAGCTAATTAAAGAAGTGAGAACTAAAAAGATAAAGTTAAAAACAAAAAAGAAAATCCAAGAAGTGTCCATGGCTTGATTCGAGTCGGTTACTTGCTTTAAAAAATCAAACCAATATATTACATTAGTTTATTGCATTTGTAAAAGGAAAAAAAAAAAAAAAAAGAAGAAGAAGAAGAAGAAGAAGAAGCAAGAACACTACTAAAATTGTTGTAGTTAGTGTTGGGTTTTTGTATTTAATATATATTAAGTACACAAAAGAGGGTGAATGGGAAATGGATGAAAATGAAATTTTTGAGTGAAATTTTAAGTTCCTTCGCTTGGCAAATGGACATTGTCNTTTTAACGTTCCCCTCCCCCCCTCCCCCCCCCCCCCTCCTCCCATGGACATTGTCCCATATTGGAAGAGGAAGAGGGTTTTTATGGGTATATAAGCAATTGCTCTTCTTCTAGCTCTTAAAGAGTTGAGAAGAAGGCAAGCCTCGCGCCGTCGTCGTCGCTTGCTCGGCTTGGCTTCTGCTTCGGATTTGGTCAAATGATTGATTGATTAACTTTTTGGACCAAATTTATTTGTTAATAGTAAAATATTTTCCCTCTTTATTGTTGAGTAAATGGCCATTTATGTAATGGCATTTATGCTGTGGCCGTTTTGCATAAACAACCATTCTGAAGAGTTGCACCTATTCAG